GGTTATGCTTTTTTTGTTTTTAAATCAATGCTCAAAGAGGGAGCTGTTTTTATCAAAACGTTAGCAGTCTGCAAGATGGTTGGAAAATAGCCAAACAGTAATTCTCATAAAATCAGGGGAGACGGGTGATGGTGACGACACAGTAGTGTTGGTGCTGACCTTTAAAGCCCTAAATGGCCTTGGCCCATTATACCTGAAGGAACATCTCCACCCCCATCATTCATCCCGGACACTGAGGTCCAGCTCAAAGGGTCTTCTGGCAGTTTCCTCACTGTGAGATGTGAGGTTGCAGGGAACCAGGCAGAGGGCCTTCTCTGTAGTGGCGCCCACCGTGTGGAACACCCTCCTGTCGGATGTCAAGGAAATAAACAACTATCTGACTTTTAGAAGACATCTGAAGGCAGCGCCGTTTAGGGAAGTTTTTAATGTTTGACCTTTTATTGTGTTTTAATATCCTGTTGGAAGCTGCCCAGACTGGCTGGGGAAACCCAGCTAGATGGGCGGGGTATAAATAATTAAATTATTATTATTACTTTAAATACTTGAAGGGCAATCACCTAAAAGACTTGTTCTCTGCTGCCTCAGATGGCAGGATTTTATATATAATGTGATTCAAGTTATAGCAGATTCCAGCTGAGCATTTAGCAGAAACTTCTTGGCAGTGAGAGAAGTTTATCAATGGAACTAAGGGTCTAAGGCAGCGGTTCTCAACCTGTGGGTCCCCAGATGTTGTTGGACTACAACTCCCATCATCCCTGAGCTCTGGCCTTGCTAGCTCAGGGTGATGGGAGTTGTAGTTCAACAACATCTGGGGACCCACAGGTTGAGAAAGGCTGGTCTAAGGGGTGGTGGGTTGCCCCTCGCTAGTGGTCTTCAGACAGATGCTGGAAAATCAGGTTGCAGATGCTGTAAGATTTTAGCATCCAGCATCAAACAAAGAGTTGGATTAGACCATAAGCTATCCTCCGGTCCTATATTCTGTGGCCACACTTGCACCATACATTTAAAGCACAATTATATCACTGTCACAATCATGGCTTTCCCTCAAAGGATCCTGGGAACTGTAGTTTGTTAAGGATGCTGGGAGTTGCTAGTAAAGATAAAGGGACCCCTGACCATTAGGTCCAGTCGTGACCGACTCTGGGTTGCAGCACTCATCTCGCTTTATTGGCCGTACAGCTTCTGGGTCATGTGGCCAGCATGACTAAGCTGCTTCTGGCGAACCAGAGCAGCGCACACAAACGCCGTTTACCTTCCCGCCGGAGCGGTACCTATTTATCTACTTGCACTTGACGTGCTTTCAAACTGCTAGGTTGGCAGGAGTAACGGGAGCTCACCCCATCGTGGGGATTCGAACCGCCGACCTTCTGATCGGCAAGTCCTAGGCTCGGTGGTTTAACCCACAGCGCCAGCTGGGAGTTGCTAGGAGGCCCCCATTCCCTTACCAGAACTACAGTTTACAGAGTTCGGTTGGGTTTGATTTCATTTAATATTTGTTTTCCTCTTTTTCCAGCAACCAAGTTGAGCTCAGAATGTCTCAAAATGATGACATTAAAATTTCAGTAGAAATAAAAATAAATAAAAATATTGTCCAGTAGCACCTTAGAGACCAACTAAGTTTGTTCTTGGTATGAGCTTTCGTGTGCATGCACACATCTTCAGCAACCATTGTCATCATTATAACCATACCAAAAGCACAATAGTGTATAAATAAAACAAAAAACTAACAAATCTATCAAACAGTAACATTCAGTACAGTGGTACCTCGCAAGACGAATGCCTCGCAAGACAAAAAACTCGCTAGACGAAAGGGTTTTATGTTTTTTGAGCTGCTTCGCAAGACGATTTTCCCTATGGGCTTGCTTCACAAGACGGAAACGTCTTGCAAGTTTGTTCCTATTTCTTAACACCGTTAATACAGTTGCGACTTGACTTCGAGGAGCAACTCATAGAAGACGGTGTGGTAGCCTTTTTTGAGGTTTTTGAAGACTTTGGTGATTTTTGAAGCTTTTCCAAAACTTTCCCGACACCGTGCTTCGCAAGACGAAAAAAATCGCAAGACGACAAAACTCGCGGAACGAATTAATTTCGTCTTGCGAGGCACCACTGTACATGATTCAAAATTTCAGAAATGACTGCTGAGCACCACCCTTTCCCCGAGTGCAAGAAGGGTTGATAGTTAAACCACCCTGGGAATTGTAGCTGTGTGACAGGAATGGGGGTCTCCTAACAACTCTCAGCACCCCTAACAAGCTACGTTTCCCAAGATGGTTTTATGGTTTGGATTCAATCAAATAATATGAAATCAGAGCTTGGAAAGTTTATTTTAAAAGGAACTAGTTCTAGTTCAACTTTAAAAAGAAATTTCAGTTCAAGTTTATCCCTTTACAAAATGAGCTGGTTTGTGTGAGGAGTTTACAGTCAAGTAAACTTTGCCCTGATCTAAACACACACAGATTGGATAGGGACTAACCATTCACTTGCGTGTGCAAAGCACTTTCTGATACGGAAGTGAAAAATAAAATTTCTCCTTGTGAAGAAGGTTGTGTTTTCTTCAAGTAACTCTTTAAAGGGTTCACTGGAGCAGCTGTGTTATTAGGTACCTTTTATTTTTAAAACATTGAGCCTACTTCCTAGAAGTATTACTGGGGATAACTTTTGTGTGATGTGTAGGATTGTACTAGTAATGTCTCAGAACAGCGGTACTGTATTCCTGCTTATCAGAAATTCTCATATATCACTGTGCAAACAGTAAATAACTGGAAGACTTCTAAATGAGGGAGATGCTGCAAAAACTCAAAGATGTCATTAGGCGGTCAGTTTATTTTATTTTATGATTATATTGGATCTGAACGAATGCAACAAAATGATTAGAAAACATAAACCTCATAGCTAAATCAGCGTAATAATTACTGCAGTGAAAACAGTGTGCCAGAAAGGAGACCCTGATAGATTGGTTTGGCTAATTTGCAATTTAGAAGAAAACCTTACTAGTACAAATAGTGAGTTCATGATATACTGAGAGGCCTTGATGCGCTGAAATACTTCTGTGTTTTCAAAATGAAATATAATGTAGTCTTGCTACCCGTAGGAAGCCCACACGTCCTGCTGTTATATCTAATTTTTTATTTTCTTTTTTTGGCATGGTTGCAGTGGGCAATGTTCAATTATTCATGCTTTAGAAAATATAGCTGTAACCCTGCCAATACTCACACCAAATGAGGGCATAAATCAAGAAGTGAGAAAAATATCCCTGAGGTTGCAGTCCTAGTAAGTACCGTAAGTAAGGCTGTGTACACGCGGCATTTTATTCTAGATCCAATGTACACGGAGGACATGCTTTTTCTACATAGTCTGCACACAAACTAGATCACAGTTTTCCAAACTAGGGCTGTTGTTGGACTACAACTCCCATCATCCCTAGCTTAGAAGGACCAGCGGTCAGGGATGATGGGAGTTGTAGTCCAACAACAGCTGGAGAGCACGTTTGGGAAAGCCTGGTCTAGAATCTTCTGCATATTTTTTGTACTTTTTGAGAAATTGGTTTCATTCCAAAAATAAAAAGCTCAGTGTAGATTCCACATTACCTCACAGTGTGCCCATTTTGGCAGTCCTGGAAACAGAAAAGATGTAACTGCACCTGCCCAGTGAAGTTGTGGGTATGTGTATACCAATATCGCCATCACCATTTCCTTCTTCCTTCACCTAGGGCGCATGTGCAGGGAATAAAAGGCATGAGTAATCAAAGGCAGAGTTTTTAAGCACATCACAAGCAACTATACCCACCCTTGTGGGTGTCAGGATCTAGAACCAACCTAGATTTTAAGTAGCATGTTGAGGGCAAGCATGAATGATTCCAAACTGATAAAAGCTACTTATTTTTTATTTTTTACTTTTGCTGCAAATGGGTTAATATATACATAGCCTGAGTCCTCTCAAAAACTCAGTGGGACTTCTGTGTAAAAAAGTTCGTAGGACTAGGGGTGTAAAGTAAGAATTTATATAAGTACTTCTGTCAGGAAAAGTTTCTAGAAGAAACAGGCCTGCTGTCAAAGGCAACAATACTGGTCTTATTATAGAATATATTCTGTGTATGCCTTAGTATCTGACGTTCTAGAGAGACTAAAGGACTCGGAATTCTTGGCAATGAATTCTGAGGCGATATTGACTCAAGCCTGTGCTTTAAGTTTGCTGACCCTTTGCGAATGGGTTCTGCAGCATGTCCTGTCAGCTTTCTGAAAGGTGCCAGAGTAATGGGAAGAGGAAAACGAAACCACAATGTAGCTCTCCATTTATCAGTATTTTCTCCATTATGTACATGATCAGTGAAGAAGTGGTTCAGTTGCCAGGGAATAACCACTGTTACACAGAGATCTTTGGAATGATATGGCTGACTGGAACCTTCATAAAAGGGTATAATCTGAGGATTTAAGGGAACTTAAATGCCTTCTGGGCCCGCTGGGTATCTGCAGAGAAGCAGAGACCCAGGAACAGCGTAGATGCTGCATCAGAACTCAAGCAATCTGCAAGTCAATCTGACTTGAATTGATTTTTATAAATGAGAAACATTACATCAATCGGGAAATCTCAACCATTACTGTCATGTTTCCACTGATTAGATCCTTCTAATTTCACTGGTAGAACATGACTTTGCTGAGTAGAACACCTTTTACATACCGATCGCTGGTTGGGAGAGATGTATTTCTAATTATAGTGCCTGGGCTTCTTTTAATCTAATAAACCTGCTGTTGCTTTTAACAGCACCGTGAAACTAGCTTGTCTCTTTGTAGTTGTCGCTATATATGTTAGGAAAATAAATTAAGTAAGGCTTATCAGTTTATTTCCTTTTCTGAATCCACACCTCTGTTTTGCTAGGGACCTAATAGCAGCATTCCATGGACTTCAGTGAGGTGGCCAAAAGTTAAGCAAGTGTTAGGCAGTTAATTGAATAACTACAGTAGGCAGGATCATCTAGTCTAGGGTTTCCCCTAACGTGGGGGTCTCCAGCTGTTTTTGGACTACAACTCCCATCATCCATAGTCATCAGGGATGATGGGAATTGTAGTCCAAAAACAGCTGGAGACCCAAGTTTGGGAAACCCTGATCTAGTCCAATGCCCTACAAGGCAGGGATATGCAGCTGTCCCATATGGGGATCAAACTTATCCAGGCGGTTTAATTGATTTTAATACTGTATTTTAAATTGTTGTAACCCACTCTGGGACCTCATGGTGTGAAGGGCAGGTAAGGAATATGATAAATAGTAATAAATAGTAGTAGCAGTAATAATAATAATAATAATAATAATAATAATAATAATAATAATGTGGGCAGAGCAAATGCATTTCTGTACCGCTTTCCCCCAATACACACACCTCTTCAATCTTCATCTTGGCATGCAAGGGATGTTATCAAAGTTCAGTGACATCTTCCAGCTAGGCAAAAGCCCTTTAGAAGTGTAGAGATCATGGTCAGTGAGGGGTGTGGGCTTGAGGAAAAAGACATGGTTTGGGGGAAAGGCAAGATGGCTGAATAGAGAGGGCTGAAGTACCACATTTGCCCTGCAGGACTCAACCTGCCCCTAAGTAGTCTTTCTGAATCTGGAAACTCCTGGCACAATAACTGGGTTAGCTTTCGATATCTCACATACAGATTTTAAAAAATTGTCCTCTAGAGTTGTACACTCTGTTCTCGGTATGGACCACATAGCGCCAGGCCTCCGAGATGTGAACCAGTGTAATGGTTAGCACTCTGGACTCTGAATCCAGCGATCCGAGTTCACATCTCGGTGGGACCTCCAGGTCTCCGACCAATATTTCTGGGGTAGCCCTGCGTCCCACAGGATCGCAGACACACTCTCTGCCTGTTGCACCTTGCGAATGCAGCCGCGTGCCTCCATTTTCATTCATTGCCTTGTTAAGAGAGTGCACTTCTTTTCCTTTCGACAACATGCCTATGGCTTTCTAGATGGGGAATCTGGTATCCATAGCTGGCCCGGGTACTGAATAGTTCCCACTGTACAGGCTGCCAAAGAGCAGCTCCAATCGATGGCAATTGTGACGCTCGTCTTCTTTTCCGAGGGACACCTGTCCAACTCATTTCACGCTAGTCATCCAACAGCTATTAGGAGCAAATGACTGTTAGTGCAAAGAAGTGGTTGGTCGTGGGCGGCTTCCAAACCCAAGCCAAGCATTCGGTGAGCAGAGCTGCTTAAAGTTCTCTGCCTCTGATTCCATTAATGTTCCATACAGTCAGAGGAAAAGTCTCATTCTTAGTGATTTTGATACCACCGTGACTTATTTTTGAACTGCACGGTGTTTTGTTGGGCGGCTCATGCTTCCTTGTTCACATGATGATGTGCATGATTTGGAATGATTATTTCTAAGGCTTCTTGTAAATGAATGTATAACACTTCAAGCCTTGCTTGAAGTGGTTACCTGACGTTTAGCTTTCTGACACATGGTTTCTGCATTGTCTCAGCAGACCTGGGGTCTCAAACCTGTGTTGGCTGAGATAGCCTGACTGCAGGAACAGAGGATAGACTACACTAGCAAGGGAGGACCCATGAGAGAAATGCTTATTCTCCCTTTATGCTCAACAATTGTCTCCTGTAAAAGACCCCACTGAAATTAGCCCCTTCCCCAGGTGGGTTGGCTTTCAGCTAGGGAGGGGATTTAAACAGCAGCTTGAGAGGAGACTTGGGTGGAATCTAGACACATATAAAAAACGTTGTGAAAATGCTTTAAAAAAAAAAAGTTCTGAAAAATATATTGAATTTACCATAGCTCACCATCGCCATCTAGTGTCATATTTGTATAATGCACTTTGCAACACACTTCAAATATTTTGCAGCTGTATAGCTGAGCCCATGCATTTAACAGGTAATAATAATAATAATAATAATAATTTATTATTTATACCCCGCCCATCTGGCTGGGTTTCCCCAGCCACTCTGGGCGGCTTCCAAAAGGATATTAAAATACCGTGATACATCAAACATTAAAAGCTTCCCTAAACAGGGCTGCCTTCAGATGTCTTCTAAAGGTCTGGTAGTTGTTGTTCTCTTTGACATCTGGTGGGAGGGCATTCCACAGGGAGCAGCGGCGTAGCGTGGGTTGTCAGCACCCGGGGCAAGGCAAGTAATTTGCGCCCCCTAACCCGGGGCAAGGCAAGTAATTTGCGCCCCCTAACCCCTAACCTGCCGCCGCTGCCAGCTTCTTCTTGCTGCTGCCTGGTCTGGTCTGGTGTGGTTCTCTCCCGCGCTCAGCGCTGCGCTGGGCGGCCGCTGCACTGTCCCTCCCCCAGATAGTCCCTCTCTCTCTCTCCGCACCGCACGCCTGGCACCCACCCCCTCCACAGTGGGCGGCGACCCAGCGGCTCGGATCGGATTTGCACAGCCAGCACTGCAGTGAGAGAGAGAGAGTGAGCCAGGTAGGGGCAGAGAGCTGCGAGTGCGAGCGCGCCCCCCCCAGATGTTGCGCCCGGTGCGGCCGGCACCCCCTGCACCCCCCACGCTACGCCACTGACAGGGAGGGCGCCACTACTGAGAAGGCCCTCTGCCTGGTTCCCTGTAACTTGGCTTCTCGCAGTGAGGGAACCGCCAGAAGGCCCTTGGTGCTGGACCTCAGTGTCCGGGCAGAACGATGGGGGTGGAGACGCTCCTTCAGGTATACTGGACCGAGGCCATTTAGGGCTTTAAAGGTCAGCACCAACACTTTGAATTGTGCTCGGAAACGTACTGGGAGCCAATGTAGGTCTTTCAAGACCGGTGTTATGGTCTCGGTGGCTGCTCCCAGTCACCAGTCTGGCTGCTGCGTTCTGGATTAGTTGTAGTTTCCGGGTCACCTTCAAAGGTAGCCCCATGTAGAGCGCATTGCAGTAGTCCAAGCGGGAGATAACCAGAGCATGCACCACTCTGGCGAGGCAGTCTACAGGCAGATAGGGTCTCAGCCTGCGTACCAGATGGAGCTGGTACACAGCTGCCTTGGACACGGATTTAACCTGTGCCTCCATGGACAGCTGTGAGTCCAAAATGACTCCCAGGCTGCGCACCTGGTCCTTCAGGGGCACAGTTACCCCATTCAGGACCAGGGAATCCTCCACACCTGCCCGCCTCCTGTCCCCCAGAAACAGTACTTCTGTCTTGTCAGGATTCAATCTCAATCTGTTAGCCGCCATCCATCCTCCAACTGCCTCCAGACACTCACACAGGACCGTCACCGCCTTCACTGGTTCTGATTTTAAAGAGAGGTAGAGCTGGGTATCATCCGCATACTGATGAACACCCAGCCCAAACCCCCTGATGATCTCTCTCAGCGGCTGCATGTAGATGTTGAAAAGCATGGGGAGAGGACAGAACCCTGAGGCACCCCACAAGTGAGAGCCCAGGGGTCTGAACACTCATCCCCCACCACCACTTTCTGAACACGGCGCAGCAGGAAGGAGCGGAACCACTATATGACAGTGCCCCCAGCTCCCAGCCCCTCAAGACGGTCCAGAAGGATGTTATGGTCGATGGTATCAAACGCCGCTGAGAGATCCAGCAGAACTAGGAAAGAGCTCTCACCTTTGTCCCTAGCCCGCCGGAGATCATCAACCAGTGCGACCAAGGCAGTTTCAGTCCTGTGATGAGGCCTGAATCCCGACTGGAAGGGATCCAAATGGTCCGCTTCTTCCAGGCAGGGTTAAATCTTCCAGGCAGGGTTAAATCAGGGTTAGACATCCCCCTTCTTCCTTCTCATTCTTCCCCATAATTGCCCCCGTAACAGTCTTTGTACTTTGTATCATAACTAATGCATTAACCATAAATATATTTAGGTCCTGATCCTGCACAAACTTACCGTCTATGGAACAGCCACCCTCGGGGGTTTCGCGCAGTCCCAACACTAACATCTTTTTGGCACCAGGCAATGGCATCCCTTTCCCCCCTAGAATTCAAGTGTTAATCTCCATGCTGCATGGTATTGATTTTGAAACATTTACCAGTATTGTATTTTATTTTGTAAGCTGCTATGTGACTTCCATGTAAAGCAACTAATAAGGACTGTTAAATCAAATCATCATCATTGAACTGTACTATTTTTGTTGAGCAGTCTGGGCTGCACTCAGTGGGACTTGCATCTGAGTAAGCATGCGTAGGATCACACAGCTAAAGGCTTTTTTTTGTAGGAAAGTGGCTTTTCAATATTTGAAATATATATATGTGAAATATTTGAAATAACAAAGCTTGAGCAGCTATCAATACCTTAATCAAGAGACATTTATATTTGCCTTTCGTCTCATTTCCCAAGTATTATATAGCTATATTCAGGGGTGGGGGTAGGGGATACATGTTCTCTCCTTCTGTACATGTCTGTGTATTTCTCTTTTGTGAAGTGGATGACGAATATTTATCTTGCAATTTAGGCACAGGACTGGGAATTGGGAGACCAAAGTCTTGTTTATCTTTTGACGGCATGCAAATAGCTCACTCAGACATTCTGTTCTCCCATTAGTTTGTGTGTTTAAAATGGAAAGAGATATGTTTCAGGGCATTTTTGGGACTTATTCAAAGCTTACTGAAGTTTACTTATCTGTTTGAGAGTATATATTCACCTTGTCTTCAGCGTATGATAGACAGACATGTGGCAAGTCTCAGATCTGTTCTGAGGTGTGTGTGGTAAGAATTCTCCATACCCTTCAGAATTACCAATGGAAATGTACAGGTTAAATGACAGAATAACACTTTATAGGGTTTAGGACAGGTGCAGAGCTGCTTCCATGGAGCCTGGCTGCTGACATACCCCACTACACATTTTAAAATAACTTTTAAGGTTCGGTGCCTGAAAAAGCTGGTGATCGAAAGCAGATAGCATATATTTTACTTGTGCTATCCTCAACCCTTTCCTTTTCCTTAGGTAGAACATACTCGAAGTCTGATTTCTCACAACTCTTTGGTTGTTGTGGTCAAAATGCACCTAAAAGAGATGTTTGTTGACAATTTGTGTGGTGTCTGGCTATAACGTCGTCAAGTGTTTCATGCAAATCCCCAAATAAAAAGCTTTTTGCAAAACTTAATATTTCAATATATTCATTAAAAAGCGGT